AATTCAGCAACACCTTTGTATTGAAGAAGAGTCTCGGATTAGAGACAGTAGGGATAWGACCTTGGCCGGTATGCTGAACTCTAAGGTCAATTTTGTGGAAAACAGATCGAAGAAGACTAACCCTGCATTACAAGTAAAGAGGAAGGATGGAAACTTCAAGAAGAGCAACAATAAGAAATGATCCTACTATGTTTGTGGAAAGAAGGGGCATTATGCCCAAGTCTTCCAACATCGGATAGGCGGAACCAAGTCTGTAAACATGGTAGAAGACAATCTAGTGGCCATGATTACTGAAGTCAACATGGCAGAATCGTCTTCTGGATGGTGGTTTGATTCAGGCACCACAATCCATGTTTGCAAGGACAAGTCCTTGTTCAAAACATATGAAGAAGTGACTGATGGCCAAGAGGTATAGATGGGAAACCAAACATGTGTCAAAGTTGTTGGAAGAGGCAACGTAGAGTTGAACTTCACCTCCGGAAAGACACCGACTCTCCTGAATGTTCTCCATGTTCCTGACATTAGAAAAAACTTGGTCTCAGTAAATCTTGTCTGTAAGAGAGGATTCAAAGTTGTCTTTGAATTCGACAAACTAATCCTATCCAAGAATGGGATGTTTGTTGAAAAGGGGTATGGTTGTAATGGTATGTTCAAATTAAGTATTAATAAAGGAAAAGTTTCTACTTATATTGTTGATTCTTTCTCTTTATGGCATGATAGATTAACACACTTGAATTTTAAATCCATAAAGAACATAAGCAAACTTGGTATAATTGCTTGTAGTAATGAATCAACTAAAAAATGTGAGATATGTGTAAAATCTAAAATGGCTAAAAAACTTTTCCCTAGTGTTAAGAGAAATTCTCAACTTCTAGAATTAATTCATTCTGACATTTGTGAACTCAATGGTGTATTAACTAGAGGAGGTAAGAGGTATTTTATAACATTTATAAATGACTTTTCTAGGTACACCTATGTCTACCTTATGAGAACTAAGGATGAAGCCTTTAACATGTTTAAATTGTATAAGACTGAAGTTGAAAATCAACTAGAAAAGAAAATTAAAATTCTTAGAAGTGATAGGGGTGTTGAATACTTTAAAAATGAGTTTAATTCTTTCTATGAAGATTTTGGAAT